TTAAGCTACTTTCCAGAATATGAGAAAGTTCCAAAACTCATCTATTCAAAATATCTGACAAAACTCAAGAACTTTTCTCAATCTACAGGCCCATTAGTTTGCTCAATTTCATGAGTAAAATTTTCAAAAAGTAATATATAGAAGAATAGAATGCCACTCAACACTAATAAAGGAAGAGCAATTCAAATTTTGCCCTAGGTTCAGCATATTGCTCAAGGCATACAGGCTTAGCAGAGCTCAGCAACTAGCAGAGAAATAGACTTAGTAGGCGATAGCATTAGTATTAAAAGAGAGGTTGAAAGCCTTTGACACATTAAGGCAAGATGATATTGTTTACAGGATGCTTGAATATAATTTTTGTAATATAATTAAAATTGTGCGCTCCTATCTGCAAATGAGGTCTTTTCATGTTGCCCTCTAATAATTATTTTTATTCTCCTTTCAAGATTAAAGAGGCATCCTTCAAGGCTTGATTCTGGCCCCTACATTGTTTTGCAATTTTTAAGAAAAGCGCTGTCCGAATAAAATTTTGTCAGCTAGTTGCACTCTACCAGTATTATATAGTATTATATACATACTAAAATTGAATTGCTTCTTCATAAAAGTGACATTGAAAACTAACAAATATTTTTCTTTGAGGTTTAATGTGATTGCCAAAAATATTTACATACTATTCAGAGGAAAAAATCATTTCTGCACCAGATATAAGTTAACAACTAATACATCTAAAACTAGAAGCATTTTTTCATTAAACCATATGCCCTTGCTCACTGATAAAATATTGTTTGGTGTAAAGTCTTTGTATTGGTTTAAGTATCTAACCTAGGAATGACACTCAACTCCAAATGAAATTTTATCCAATACATCCAAATCTTGTTTGAAAATGTAAAGCTGCAACTAGAGTACTAATTGTTGTTTAAGAGGTAATCTGGATTCCAGATTCTGGAATGAGTGTACCAAACAAACTCTGTACCACAAATACCTTAAAGATTAAAGCAGGCATCTCTCAAGGTTCGATTCTAGAAACGACATTGTTTCATATTTTTCTAAATGTTCTAAACTAACATAAATTTTGTTAACTGGCATTATCTACTGATTTTCCTGGAGGATTAGTGCGATTTCCAAAAACATTCATACGGAACTGTACCAGATATATGTTAAAAATTAACATATCTAACACTAGATGCATTGAAGATTTTTATGAACTGAAATATTTTTGCGGCAGAACTCCATCATAGGTAAAATAGAGGAAAAACTACTGGAACTAAAGGTGTTTTTCTACTAGATGCATTCTTTTCACCAAATAATGTAAAACTAAATGGCAATGTAAAACTCCAACTAGAGTATTTTTTGCAATTGCTTAGCAGGGAATCGTGAATGAGTATACCAAACAAAGCACTCTTATAGAGACCAATGTTATTACTTGTGTTACTTATATGCTTGCCTTTCATGGAGTTACACATGCCAGTCAAATATTACACACTCCAAGTAGTTCAAAATAAACTCTTACGGCTTGCTTCCATCTCGACCAGGAATTTCAAACTAACTGAGTTTCACAAAATTACAAACTTGGTTTGGATTAAGAGGCAATTGCTGATCCGTAGAGGTCACCAATTTTATAGGTAAATGAGAGCCCTGCACAAGGCACAAATTTGATATGCAAGTTCATAGTTGCCTATTCTTCTTTGGAAAAATTTCGAATGAGAAATTTAATAAATGTAAAGAACATTATTTATAACACAATTTGCATTGTTTCTAATACACAACTTTTTAATTTAAAAAAATCTTTCATAATTGTCCAAAAACTTTACAAAAGGTGAATGTTTAACTTAAAACAGAACAAAGTCCAGTTCAAAAGTAGGATGCAGAGCTACCTATTAGAAATTTGCAGAATGGACCAAATGGGTATTTGAAGCTTGATCATTATAAACATCGCTATATTAGTATGCTACCAAACTATCAATTTATAATATATAAATTATTAATTTATATTACATATAACTTAAATAAATTAAATCTTATATCTATACCTCTCTTTTCCCCTTTGTTTCAATCGCTCACTCCCTTGTGGTCCTTTCATACCCACAAAGAATTTGTGAATTTATGTAGTTTCATACTTGTTCAAGAGATTCAAATAAAATAACCCAAAACAAAATATGCTTACAAATTGATGACCAGATTGGAAAAATTCACCGTACCGGGTTTTGTCTATTAGAGTTTATTGATGTGAAGAAATAGTTATATAGTAAAAATTTATGTTAAATACCAAAATAAAAATTACATATTTTAAACCAGATGAGGGAAGGAATGCATTATTGGTTTAAACGTTGTTTATGTATGAATATTATAATAAACAGGGGCAATAATAAAATTCAATTTTTGATCATGTTGGTAATGTGTGTATAGCTGAAAAGTCTTAACAGTAGAGAGAGTTGACTTACCTTTAGTTCCTTCTGCCTGGTAAAAGAAAAAATTAAATTAAAATTAGAGAATAGTAGGCAACATACATATAAACATATAAATGAAATTTACCATCGAGGAACAATCCCTGTTTTAAAACAGCAATGATGAACCAGGAACTGCACACTATTTAACTCGCGAGAACTTTTAACACCCTTTTTAAACATCACTTCACTAAAACAGAAAAAAAAGATTTAAAATTGTTGAAAAACCTTGAAAAATAAAAATGCAAGAAACATGAAGCATACAGAAAATTAAATGTACTTTTTAAATATAAATTATTTATCACAACCAACAAACAAATCTATGAAATACACGTATAACATAAAACGTGGGGATGAACCTACAGATTACCTAGGTAAAATTTAGATATGTGTCAGTAAATAAACACATGAGAAAAAATGTCTCAGAGACTTTTTTTGTTTGATATATATGATTTTGTAATATGTATATTTTTGATCATTTCTACGTATTGAGTACTATTACATGTTATGTTGTTTGTTGGTGATTAAAGATTGTTCAAATCTTGTTATCAGTTCAATTTTTCATTTAGCTATGTCTTATATTTTTCATTAGAAATATCCAATAAACAAGATGGAATTACGCCCTAGAAGACTGGTGCGTAATTTTGTCTTTTTGTATAAGCTGTCAAATAATGTAATAGAGTGTTCCTACTTATTAACATTAATCCAGTTCAAAGTTCCTACTTTCATACTGGGGGGAGTAAGTGACTGCAACGGTTTAGGCGTTGACACAGCATTCATCTTTGTAAGGGAAACATACTTACAAATCAGCTTTTTTTTCATAAACCCTGATACCTCGAGGGTTCATACAACCTCGTAGTTGAAATATCCTTGTATTTAAAATAAATAAATAATAATGCTAATAATAATACAGGGTGCTCATCTTTGTAAGGGAAAACTCACAGGTTCAAATCCAGTGGTACTGAATTTGAATCCATAGTACTTACAAATTGACATTTTTTCATAAACACTGACACCCCGAGGGTTTATACAACCTTGAAGTTGAAATACCCATGTATTACAAATAAACAAAGAAAGCAAAAAGAAAAAAAGAAAAAGCTACATAAAAAGATACATTGGGATCCTTATACCTATGAAACAATTCTAAGGGCATTGAGTTTGCATACATCATACTCTAGAAGACTGGTGTGTGATTTGTTTTTTGTATAATTCGTTAAATTAATAGATTGTTCCTACATATTAACATTAATCAAGTTTAAATTTACTACTCGGGGGTGTTGGTGGCCGCAACGGTTTAGGTGTTGAGACAGGGCGTCCATCTTTGTAAGGGAAAGGTCCTGGGTTCAAGTTGTTAAATTAATACATTGTTCCTATATATTAACTTAATCAAGTTGAAAGTTCCTACTTGGGGCACCGATGGTCGCAACCGTTTAGGTGTTGACAGGGCGCTCATCTTTGTGAGGGAAAATTCTTGGGTTCAAATCCACTAGCCCTACATTCAAACTACTTACAAATCAGTTTTTTTAATAAACACTGTCACCCCGAGGGTTCATACAATCTTGTAGTTGAAATACCCTTGTATTAAAAATAAAGAAAAAAGAAAAAAAAGCTGCATAGGGATCCTTATAATTATGAAACAATACTAAGGGCATTGAGTTTGCATACATCATTCTCTAGAAGACTGGAATGTGATTTTTTTTTTGTATAATTGTTAAATAATATAATTTTCCTACTTATTAAAATTCATCAAATTTAAAGTTCCTACTTTTTAGTGTTGGTGTCCACAATGGTGTCGGTTTAAGTGGCGATAGGGCGCTCATCTTTGTAAGGGAAATCTCCCGAATTCGAACCCGACATACTTAGGAATTGGCTTTTTTTGTTTTTCAAAAACACCAACACCTCAAGGGTTCATATAACCTCGTAGTTGAAATACCCTCGTTAAAAAAAGTTCCTACTTTTCGTTCAAGGTCAAAGGATTATTTAAAAACAAATTGTGCAATACAAATTATATTATAAATCAACTGATAAATGGTAAGATGAGCAAATGAGAATATTTATTTGCTAACTACTTCTGTTCATAACCTTAAGAAAGATGTATTAAACTCAAGTAATTAATAGTGAAATTTATTCCTAATTTTCGGTTTGTTATGTGTTTAGTACATAATATTTAATGCATATATGTGTATAATATGCAAATTGTATAGAATTAGTTTAGTACACTTACCAATTTAAAATTTTTATCTGTATATAATACACTGGTTGTGGGCACCCGCCTGTTAATAAAGAAAAAAATCAGAGATGGCGCTGAGTGTCCTTTTGTGAAGAAAGTTCTGCCAACCGGTAACAATCGTGACAGTATTTGTCAGCCTGACAATAAAAGAGAGGTCTGTTTCATGTTTATTGTCAATTGGTGGAAAATAACAAGTAGTTCTTTTTTTTAATATACTGAATTTATTCGGTTTTCGTCCGGGTCTGCGTAGTTCTCGATTCGAATCCGCCGTTGGCCAGACTGAGTCGGCAGTAAGCATGTCACAAGAGTCGGGACTGGGAGAAGTTTATATTTATTTAACCAGTGGTCAGAGTGATTGTGAACGTTACGACGTCCGGTCACCGAGGAGGTCTATTTCTGAGCACAGGGGTTATTTCTGTCTGATTTTTTAAACGTCGTCTTATTCTCCGAGTCGGACCAGCCCATTTCGTGACTTGTGCCTCAGTGCTTATTTGTCGAGTTTTAAAAGCCAAACAGAAACAAGGTAAGTCCGAACTTTCCCCCTTTTCTTTGACGTTGTCAAGATGCGAAAAAACCAAAGAGTAAAAAGACAGAAGGATTTTGTGAATTGTGACTAGTATTTCGTAGTATTAGACACTGTACACTAGTTGGTTTTTTGTTATTATGCATTTTTAACTATTTTTTACAATAAATATAATTGTTCAAGCATGTTTTTTAAAGATATTTTTAAAGTGTTTTTCTTTCTTAAAAAAAGGGCACTTGCTTCATCATAATGACGAGTACGGCAAAAGCTCTCATGTGCTTTTTCTCTTTTGAAACCAAAGAAAACAGATTCTTGGCAAAATCGCTACTTTAAAAGAACACACATTTTATACCTGATTTGGGATTGTTATACCACAATTTTTCAGTTTTTTTAAAAAATCTATTTAAAAAAACATATCTCTGATGGTTAAAATAAAACAGTGAATATTATTCATGTTCGTATTGATCAATTTGACTTAGTGCCATGGGGATGGGAAAGTAGACAGAAAAACTTTTCCCCTTATAAAATATCTGTATGTTTGATATGATATAGGGATTATTTGAATTGTAGTAAATTTTCTTCTTTGAAGCCGCCTTGAAGGGCGTTTATTTTTTCAAATTTTCAGCTTTGACAGGCGTTATGGCGCCAATATGTATTATTCAAATTATAATCTTAAAAAAGTAATGCATATTTCAATTTATTGATTTATTTTGGAAAGTACAGTTTTTTGGCTATTTTGTCAAGGATTTTATTTCATTTTATTTTATTATTTTTTTATCTGTTTAACAACGATTTTATATATTTTTTTATACATAACCTGCTTCGCCTATTGAGAAATGGTTTCCATTTCCAGTTTGCAATTTGTTCCAAATTGGGAAAATCACTTTTCTCAAAATTAAATCAAGAGGGAACCAGTTTTTAGTAAAATAGGAATTCGCGGATATTATTGTGTTTCCAGTAAATTTTCTTTCAGCCGCCTTGATGGATGTTTATTTTTTCAAATTTGACAGGCATTATGGCGCCAATATGTATTTTCAAATTATCATCTTAAAAAAATAATGCATATTTCAAATTATAAATTTATTTTGGAAAGTACAGTTTTTTTGTCTATTTGACGAGGATTTTATTTATTTTATACATAACTTATTTCGCCTATTGAGAAGTTGTTTCCATTTCCAGTTTGCAGTTGGTTCCAAAATTGGGATAACCATTTTACTCATAATTAAATCATGAGGGAACCTTTTTATCTTTTTACAATCAATAAACATCCATTCACCGATATTTTATTATTCTTAGTAAATTGTTTTCTAGCCGCCATGAAGGGCGTTTATTTTTTCAAATTTTCAACTTTGACAGCCGTAATGGCGCCAATATGTATTTTCAAATTATCATCTTAAAAAAAGTAATGCATATTTCAATTTATAAATTTATTTTGGAAAGTACAGTTTTTTGTCTATTTGGCAAGGATGTTATTTTTATTATTATTATTTTTTTTATACATAACCTATTTCGCCTATTGAGAAGTTGTTTCCATTTTCAGTTTGCAATTGGTTCCAAAATTGGGAAAACTGCTTTTACTCTTAATTAAATCATGAGGGAACCTTTTTATTTTTTATTTATTTTATTTATTTTTTTAATACATAACCTATTTCGCCAATTAGGAAATTGTTTCCATTTCCACTTTGCTATTTTTTCCAAAATTGGGGAAGCCACTTTTGCTCAAACTTGGATCAAGAGGGAACCATTTTTTAGTAAAATAGGAATGCGCCAATATGTATTGCTGCAACTGTCATCTTCTTTTAAACAAAGTGCATATTTCAATTTACATATTCATTTTATTTTGTAAAATATTGTTTTTGTCAAAATTTTATTTGGTACTTATTCAACTTTACCTATTAAGAAATGGTTTCAGTCCCTGTTTGCAAGTTGTTCAGAAATTGGGGAAATCATTTTCAAAATTGAATCAAGAGAGGACAAAAAAGTTTGCTTATAATTTTTGTTTTGAAAAAATTGGACTTGACAGTATCATTCGATTTCTAGTAAATTTTCTTTTAGGTTCGTTTTTTGTTTATTAAACAACTTTGTATTTTTAGTTTCTGCCATTAATTACATGAAGGAATGGTGGCCAGTTCTAATTTGCATCTTTTTTACAAATTGCGGCAACTACTTTTCTTATTTCAAAAATCATCTAAAATAAATTTCTGAGGTAGCCATACAACACAGATTTCTTACTTATTTTATTTTTCAATTTGTATTTTTGAGTGAAATAGGAATCAATGTTTTTTTTTAATTAGCAGTTTCTGAAAACAACTAAAAAGTGTAATTTAAAACAACCGGTTGCCTATTCCAGTTTACAATGTTTGTTTTTCAAAATGGTACAAAATAAAATTACGAGAACTATTGAGAGTTTTAACCTTTCCAATTACGGATTTAAACATTATCTTAATTATAAAACTAAATAAAAAATAACCAAATTAAAATACGGCAACACTTGAAAAAAGTCAAATTAAATTAAAAATTATAATTTCCCTAATACAAATTGGCTCCATCACGCCTCTCAAAGATAGGAATTTTAAATAAAATCTTTCTAGCGTTTTTATTTAACCAACTTCACCTGTTCAAGTTTCATTTTTGTTTTTAAAAATTATGCAAGCCTTTTTTCTCTATCATAACGTTTCTAAAATTTTGTCACGAGAAAACTGTAAAATACTGGTATGAATAGGAATTAGCGGGCATTCTCTTGTTTATACCAATGTATTGTTGCTAGAAGTGACAAATATTTAGGAGAGTTAGCTTATTCAAAGTTAACGTTTGATCGCTAAAAATGTATTTCCTATATTAAATAATTAAACACCACGGAACAACCCATGGAATTTGAATTGTTAATAATATGTAATATGTTTAAGACCCCTCGTCTTAAATCCCATCGGGTAGGTGGACGGACGTTAAGCCTTCTGTATGACGACAATTACACTACTTGTTTTAAGTAAATACATTTAAAGTGTAATAAACATACAGGTGAGGATTCTTTCGTTTCTAGCTATGAAGTTGTGGTGGTTGAAGTTTTTTTAACCTTTTTAAAGGGTTTTAGGTAATACATATTTTTCAAATTGTTTGTATCTTAAAAAAGAACCTTAACATATTCTGTTACATTTTTATTAATGAAAAGGGCTCTTTTTTGCTTAGGAAAACAAATATTTCATTTTTCAAATTGTTATCTTTAAAAAGATCGTTAGCATATTCATGTACATTTTTATACTGAAAAATGTTTTGTTTAATAGACGTGATGAAAAAATTTGCGTTTTTTATATGAAATAATAATAGAAAAAATTTCTTTTTTTAATGTTATAAAGATTTTGTTTTTAGTTTAATAAACTGTTCAATAAACATTTATGTCATGTTTCGTTGTTAACGTTTGGAGCTTATTTAAGTTTCGTGTTTTAATTTCTTTTCCAAAATAGTTCCAAAATAAAAGATTAGGGGTTTATCGTATTAACATGAGAACTTTTATATGAAATCCTATGTTATAAGTAACCCTTTAAGCACAGTTGCCCTTGCTAATCCATTACTCCAATTGAAAATATACTATAATAAGATTAATTCACCAATAGGAATTTTTTAATTCTACTTTTATTCAAAAATTCAACATTCCATATTTTAATTTTGTTGTTATGCTTTTATTAAACAGTTTTATTCAAAGCTCAGCGCTTTGTTCAATCTTGCCAAAATATTTAATAGACGAAAAGTTATAATTCACAATTAATTAAGAATGATTATGATGTATTTTTTTGGTCATTATTTAACTAGTATTACCTCTCGGTACTTGTTCTTAACGGAGAAAAAAAAGTATAAATAACTTGTACGCTTGGGCAAAAAGGGCAATAGTGTTAATTTTCAATGTTGATTACGTAAGTTCAACGGGAGAATTTAATAGAATTTTTAATATTTTTGGGAATAAAGGTCAACTACGAACCGTTTGGTTCAACCTATTACTGCCCAACTTAAATTTTGCAATTTTTTTCCCTCTACGCCGTTATTTAATTTGCCACTGTGTGTCATATGTTTACTTTTTTTGTGTGTGGATATTCACCATCCATTTCGTAAATACAAATTTATAATATACAAAAAATGTAATAGCAGAAAGTTAAAATAATTCTATATGTATATTGTCAAATGTAGACATAATTCAATGATGACTGTTTCGTGTTTACATTTTGGTAGAAGCGCACAAATATGGAAAAAGAAAGTTAAAGTTTATCATGAGCTATAATTAGATTTAGGAATGTAGTTCTCGTACACTATTTTTGCAATTACGTACAGTTATTTCATTAGTTCCGAATTAGTGCTAAGAATGTCAGTATAAAAAATAATACTAAAGTAGGAATGAATTGAATGAATAAATTTAAAATGCCTACTGAATTCCATTCTCCTTTCTTTTTTCAACATTTATATTTACTCCCATTATATTTAGTGGTCTGATTGACCAAATTACTTCTTTCAGTTAATTAATCTTTTTATGTAAGATTTTCGTTGAAATGAAAAAGTAAGTGTCACGAGCGAGATTCAAACCCTTTGGAGCCGAAGGTCGTGGGTCGAATCCCGCTCGTGACACTAATGTTTTCATTTCAAACAAAACCATACATAAAAAGATTAATTAATTTATATTTATGTGAGAGTTAAAAAATTCGTTAAAGCGTATTTGAGCAGTGAAAAGTTTCATGATTTATTTATGTATGATTTGTTCGTTGAAAAAGTAAAATCGGCCAAATGAATTGAAATAAAAGTGTTAGCATGCTTCGATGCGGTTTTATCGTATGTGACTAGCTCTGGTCCGTTTATCTTCGCTGTTTTGCTTCTAATTAATAAGCGATAACGGTTCAGACGCCAAAAATAAGCGGACTGGGGTGCTCTATGGGAAATTTGCTGATAGCTCAAAAACTCGAAGACGAGAGTCCAACAATGAATCTAAATTGCCCAAGATTAAACTGCTCACCGAAATAGTAACGCAGTATTTGATTGCTAATGAAACTCTTGCCTCGTAAAGTAGCTCAACTTTAAGTTATTGTTTTAATATTTTCTTTACGTAGATCCATGGTTTTGAAATAAGAATGACTAAGCTACATTACATTCAGTTACATTTAAGATTCCGAAATCACGGAGCATTTAACCTATATTTTCAATTGGAGTAATGGATGACCAAGGGCAATTTTGCTTTCCTTCATTGCATAATTTATATATGCGGTCCAGTTTTCAGCTAACCACGGTGAACCATGCTATGCCGGTAATATCAAATGTTATGGAGTTAGGAGAACCATTTCTTTTAATCGGAGTTAGCTATTTAAAAAAATAAAATCATAGCTGCTCTATTTCCATTCGTCAAGGTTTTTCTATTTCCTGAAATATTTGTTCCAGCAAACGTTGCAAATCTTCACCGAACGAAATCGAAACATCGTAGAAGTCGGATGATAACGCTTTTTAAAAGGGTCTGTTAAGAAGGCAATGAATACATTATAATAAGTGAATAGGCTTTAATTTAGTTCGCTATCATGAATATTTATACTTGAATTGCAGATTGATATGTAAATGGCTCTAAATTATTTGGTTGTCTGATATTGGCTAAATTATGTCTGATTGTTTACCTTAAATATAGTAAACAATTTTTAAAGCACCGTAAAATTGTTTAAATTTATTATTCTAACATAAAGTATCCGATTCCTAATTTATTATTTTCACTAGTGGAATTTTTAAAAATTCGCTGTTCATCTATGTTTAAATTATTTTATGTGCTTGTTAGAATACGTTCTGAACGATAAAAATCGGTATACACATTTTTGTGTAGTATTCCCAAATCATATTGATCTTTTTCTAAATCTCATTGAATTATTTACAAACCGAATTGAAGTTTTCCTTGTCAAATTTCACTTTTCCAAATTTAAATGAACTTTTTTCTAGCCTAATTGAGCCCTTCCAAGCCTAATTGTGCTTTTCTTTATCAAAGTGAACTTTTTGCAAACCAAACTGAACTATTTTCGAACCCAATTGAAATATTTCTAAGCCTAATTGGACATGTACAAGCCAAATTGAACATTTTCAAACCAAATTGAACTTTTCCATATGCATTAATGTGTGGTGATTAGTGACCGTTAATCGATAATTATTCAGAAATCTCACGATTTCTGAATAATCATATGCATTAAATTATTTTCAACTTAATTGAACTATTCCAAACGAAATTGAATATTTTTATTCAAAATTAACTATTTTCTAACCGGAATGAAACTTTCCCAAAATCTCTAATTGACCACCACCAGGCCAAATCAAACATTTTTTTCAAACCATATTGAACTTTTCTATACCATATTGAACTATTTCTAAACCAAATTGAACTATTTCCAAACCAAAATTATCTTTTTTCCAAACCTAATGGAACACTTCGAAGCCAAATTGAACTTTTTCAAAACAGAATACTTTCAAACGTTTCATGCTCAAAAGCTTGAATGTTTATATAATTCTGTACACTTTCCCAGTAACACCCACCGAATATTTTAATATCATCATTGATCGATTGTAACCAGGAAATAATAGGAATAATTTACACATTTGCTTTTTTTTGGGTGGAGTAATATTTTTGTTTATTGTTTATTTTCCATTTTTCTGCTGATACCGAAAATTCTAAATAAATCGCGTTTTTTTTTTCAATAAACCTTCACTTTCGCTTTGATAGTCGTGGAAAAGGTCTAACTGTCACCGTAATGATTGAATTGCCGTTATTTACATTTCTACATTTTACGCCAAAAGTTCTTCCGCTTTTGACCTACTGGCAATTATTAAACAAACGTTGGCCATTGTGTAAATTTTACAACAAACTCATATCTGTTCTTTTTGTGCGGATATATTTCCATGTTATTGTTTATTTTTTTAAATGTTTGTAAGCATTTTTCGATCATGTTTTTGTGGAAATTTATTACCTCGAGATAATTTTTATAGACTAACGGTGAGATAACGGCTTATTAAGTGAATCGTAAAGAAGTAAATAAACACGATTATTTACATAGGCTTTATTAAACGATTAGTAAAAAAAATAAATAAAAAAAATAATTTAAAAAAAACAGTCTCTTATACCTAGTTATTATATCTTGTACTACTACTCTTTTCAAACTACTCAATTATTATTAATCAATTTTTTATTCAATTTTTTTTGTAATGTATTGTACTCGTAGACACGTGTAGTTTTGCGATTTGGGTTGAAGCAGTTCAATTTTCTTTCTATCAGCCCACTCCACGTCCGCCTACTGATTTCCTATTGACCCGAAAGCCCAACCATGCCACCTTATTGAGTAAAAAAACAAGAAGAAAAATAGTTTGGGTAAAAGGTATAAACCTTAAAATAGGAACTGGTCATACTCATGCGCATTAGCCTAGCTACAGACAAGGTCTGGAGGTAAATTACAGACTGGTAACAATAGAGGATAACAACAAAAATAAACCTAATTACTTTTCAATCGGGTTTTTTTGAGTGAACAGTTGTCATTTTCAACCAGGAAAAGGCTAATGTGATATAGTTCACTTATACATAGGACTTTTCTTTTCCAAGTCAATTTTGCAACAATTAAAAAAACGTATTTATGAAATGCTATTAGATTTCCAAGTTTTATAGATTTGATATTTGACTATAATAATTATATTGCGGAATAAAGTAAGATTGAACTGATAAATTAGACAAGGTTTGAGCTCAGGAGGAAAATATTGTATCTTCATGAATGTACGTTTGTTGACATAAATTACATTTTCATTTTATATTTTCATGGGTGAATTCCAGGTCGATAAATTAATACTCAGCTCCAAATCATATTGGCTCCAATATGTATAAAGTGAAATGTAATTAAGTGTGCTAGGCAATAAACATAATTCTTTACAGTATAAAGTAATTGTATCATATTAACTACAGAGTAGTAGAATAAAGCGTTATATGGTAGATAAATACGTTCTGTTTAAAGTGTATCGACCACTTTGTTGCTAATGAATACTCTAGATCTCTGTATGTTCTGGATGAAAAGACAAATTCAATTGTTATCTGACCAGCTTGTAGTATTCAGTTTTGGCAATATTGGGACTGAGTCTATGTTCAGAAATTTGAAACGTATTATTATGTCAATTTGTAGACATCTTTAAGATTGTTTTGGCTTGATGATGGTCTTAATCTAGGTCGAAAGCTTGGCTGATAATTGAATTTATTTCAGGATCCAGATCGTATCGAGTTCCAGATTATTCGTAAATACGTTTTAACATTTTTTCAAATCAAGTTGAACCTTTTCAAAATCAAATTGTACTTTTTCCAAACCAAATTGAACTTTTCCGCATCACATTGTACCTTTTCCAAATCGAGTTGAACTTTCTTTCAAGCGTAATTGAACTTTTTTCGAACCAAGTTGAAGTATTTTAAAAACCAAATTGGACTTTTTTCAGGTCAACTTGAGCTTTTTCCGAATAATTATACTTTTTTTCAAATTGATCGTTCTTTTCAACAAATTTCCACATCAAACTTTATCAAATTGAACCTTCCTAAAATAAATTATACTGTTTCTAAACAAAATCGAACTTTTTCCATATAAAATTGAAAGTTTTTTTAATACTGTTTTCCGAAACGGATCTTTTTCCATACCCAATTTAACTTTTTCCAAATCATTTGCAAGAACTTTTATTGACCCGCTAAGCATTTTAGTTTTGTTAATCATTTTGGTCTTTCATTTCTTTGTGCATGATGTTATTTAAAGCGTCAACTCATTTTCATACTACATTGGGACCTTTTCCAAACTAAATTGTACTTTTTTTAAAACAATCGATATTTATATATTAAATTTAACTTTGTGAAATCCAATCGATCTTTTTCCAAATTGAACTTTTTTGAACTGTTCCCGAATCATATGGACTTTTGTATTTTTGTGTTTTGTACTCGGCTAAATGAGAACTCTAATTATTAATAAGAGAACTTTTCTGACCTGCTAAGCGTTTTTGTTTGGTTAATCATTTTTATCTTATATTTATTTGTGCAGTCAAATTTTTTTAAGTATCAACTCTTTATCAATTCATGCCGCCTGCTTAGTTTTTCTAGTAGTAAACATTTGTGAATGGCATTTTTTCCATTTTTTTTAATGTGTCTGGGAATGGATGTGCATTCAAGTATGATTTTTAATATTCATGCCGAATCCATTTTTCTCTCAGCATGATAAACCTTTGATATTAGCGCAGTTTTAAAGCTTATAATTTTTTCCATTGTGTTCCAGCCTTTTCCATTAGACTAGGTCATGACTGAACGGGAAAAAAACAATGAAATATTGCCATATTGATCTGATTTATATCTATTCGTCCTGGCACGTCCATCGGATTTATCGTTTATTATTTCTCTGAATATGAAAAAAAGGCATTTTCATCGATTTTACCGACTCGCGTATCTACAGTATTTTCACTTTTTATTTTTACTTATCAAACGATTAAAGTTTTATTTCGTGTGAGATATTTAATGAAACTTCAACCATTTCCATTATGAAGTTACAACAAATATTAAAATACGCAATGTTCACTAAAAACTGTTATTGTGGTATTAAAATCCCAGATCAGTGCAATTTTTCTTTTATTTTTTCAATTTGTAGATATTTTGTTTTTTTGTTATTATTTTTGTTTTTTTATTTGTGTTCATGATAAGGCGACATGCCGGGGGGCTTAGGAGCCTCTTACAGGTCGCTTACGGGCGACGTGTACAAGACGACCACAACCAACAACGAGACAAAGTTTAGTGTAATAGAGACCGTCAAGAAAGCTTTTAGCTTCACCAACAGCCAAAAGCAATCGGAACCACTGATTGGAAAGGATCACGGAGCCGTCATCATGCCTAGGTAAATATGAACGTGAAAAGCGTCAATCAATACTTTTATTCTTTTAACCTAAAGAACACACCAGGGGGGAAATAACACTTTCCCTGATGTACCCTGGGAAAGGTAAGTCGCACCAAATTTCACCACATGCACATGTATTGTCATTCTTAGTTGTATTATTTTGATATGTTTTAATGTTAAACAAAAGTAACTGACCCTCTTGAGTTCCAATTTTTTTGTTTAATTTGCCGCATGTCACTCCCATGCATGGCTCGGGCATTGCCTTACTATTCTATGAATCATTTTCAACCAATGAGAAAAGTTATGTATATTTCAATTAATACATTACAAAGTTATTGATTGCTAGAAATTTTGTGAGATTGTTATAACTCCCTTGAGTTATTGTACCCTTACTTGTTGTACACCGATGATGCCTAATTCATCGGGGAAATAGATTATTTGACCTATTTGCATGGCATTTCTTCCTTTGTAAGCCCTTTGTAACTAAGGAAGAACCTGTTACTATGTGTTTTGGGGTTTCCTCTGCATCTTTTCACAATCTGTACACACCGGACCAAATTTTCTCAGATGCCCATTGAGTCTGATGTGTCCCGTCAAGAAGCCTTTTAAGATTCGCAATCTTTTCTGTGCCCTTTAATGCAGTCTGTAGTTTACTTACTTGCAGGTTTCGCTTCTTGTATTGGCGTGTGCGATCCCTAGTGTTTCCTCACTTCCTCTCTCTTACTCTGTGTTCTATTCTAAGATGTTCTCGGTTGAATGGAGTCCCATCCTGCAATAGGGTGTGGAGTTGAGAAGAAGGCGTTTCGTCCGGGCAACCGGACGCCTGTAACTATGGCTTTGGCGGGCAGTTTCTCTCATGGCTTCTTTGAAATAGCCCCATCTTGTAAATACTGACTGGGGCAGCTGGGTTGTGGGGGTGGAGTGGTTCGACCTGAGAGGGGGTCGTTAAACACTCTCCTTTTAACGAAACCGCGGCCGGAGCGGATCCGGAAGTTCTTACGCTGGAGGAGCCCCAATACTCTGGGAGATAAAGTCGTCTTCTCTACCTAGGGAGTTTGGCGGAACGACCCAGGCTGATGCATTTCAGCCACCTGGGGTTACCCTTTGCCGAGCGGTTTGGTTCTTAATACAGCCCCATCCATTCGGAATGGACAAGCAGAGAGCGAGGTCCGTCTCGGCCCCATTTCTCATCTTGAGAGCAAAACGTCCAGTAGGGCCGAAAGGCTAGGTACGGAGGTTAAAGATCCTCATGTCCTTTTAAGGGCTCAGAGTCCCATCCTGCAAAAGTGTTCCAGTCATATCAACAGTGTGTCAGCTCATTTTCTCAAACTTTGCATCCGTTTCCCTCTACTCCAGCAAGTTCTGGAACTCAGCATATTTCTTAATACTGTTTTTTATATCTAACCTATGTTGCAATACAGCAGAGCGGATGACATTGTAGGTCAGGGCTCATGCTTACTTCCTGATCATCTGACATACTAGCTGTCTTGTTTTTATATTTTCTGTTCGAATTGAATTGAATACAATTGCATGGACTTCTGCTATGTGTGTGTATCGCTATATGCTACATTTAACTGTTTAACGTTGCTGTAGCATCAACGTTCATCTTGCTACGTCCCACATGTAGGGATTATAACTTAAATCATAATGGTTTAGTTCCAGAGCAGGATTGTTGACAGCCTCAGTTCGAGCTTAATATCTTTCTGTAAACCGTCAAAGCACATTTTTAGATTCCCTGAAAGTGCGTTTTATCTAGTAGATATTTGTAACTAGTTCAACCTGACGATGAGCGTTTAATGCTCGAAATCATGATTGTTGTAAACAACAAATCTGTGAGTAGAACCATCATTTACAAAATGATTGTACGAGTTCTGTTCATTTTCCGGAATGTTGACCTAGGGATAGGGATAAATCTGGCTATCCCCCCCAGCTGGGGCTGTACTCCTAGCCGATGCCTTCTTAGGCGTCAGTACCCTGAGGAGTCCAGCCAGAATCCTGGTTCTGTAGTTATGAGATAAAACAAAGTTAAAAAAACTGTATACATAACTTTTCTCAAATCATTGCAGCATGTGGTATTTGAACTTATTCTAGACAATGTCACTCTATAGACATTTGCCATTTAATGCGAAGCGATTGTAGTTTTGTTTTAGAGGTGTGAAATAGAACGTTTTGATTTTAGGAAGATGCCAACTTCCGCGACAGCAGAGGAAACTGCTCTCCTTGGGTAAGAGAACAAAATTTATCTATTGTGTTTGTGTCTGTGTGAAATCGGCTACGTTTTGTTTTTTAACCGCGTGCAGTTAAGAGACGACTGAGAAGAACAAACGTGTTCTTTCTTTTCTCAATTTAGACGCACACTTTACACCAATTTGAAACGCAAAAGGCCGACGTCCTTGCTTGCAATTTACGAATCCGTCTTGAAAAGTAAAATGAATATTCAAACTGGTGTTTAAGGAAATAAGTGAATATTGATGTGTCGACTGCCGGATTAAATTTGTCATGTTTTGTACACTATTTAGGCAGTAAATTAAATTCATCATTTGTAAACTTGGATGATTGGTAGGTCCAACGTGTTGACATATACTATGAATTATTCTCGTTTAATTATCATGAAGTTGTAATTATTACTATTATAGTTACATACTAATTAAAGGAAAATACAAGAGATACTTATAGATCAAAGAACTTGAAAAATGAACAAAACCTTCTTTTTTCATGATCTGGATTTTTTCTCTATATAGTAAGCATGTAAACTTGATACAATCTTCGCGTCAAAATTCATTTCATTTCGGAAATATTGTTACAAAAAGTACAATAATGGCTTGGATTTAAACTTGTTCTAACGATATCGTATGCTATAAATTTGAAGAAAAAAAAAGTTCGATCGACCAGTCACAGATTCATCTCGACGAATGGCTTTTTTGCCAAATGCTTTGCATTACATTATCCTTTTTCGTATCGAATTGAAACTAAGTTGGCAATACTGAACAGTCATGTATTGAAAACACTTGTTTAGGGCATTCGGATCGAATTGTCCTGGAAGGAAAGGGTAATCTAGATCTAGGAACCTTCCAGATCATTGTTGATATCAAGCTGAGTTTCATTACTATCCTTACTAATCTTACTATCCTTGGGGAAATTCATTTCAGATTTAAAATAATCATTTTTCTTTTTTAACGAACTCGATATGGAAATATTAAAATTACTGTTATTTCTTCAATGGTCATTGTCAACAAAAAAATATAAAGCAAATATAGATACATAGAAAGAGCAAGAAAGTGAGAGAAAAATAGACAGATAAACATATAGAGAGATAAATAGATAGATAGATAGATAGATAGATAGATAGATAGATAGATAGATAGATAGATAGATAGATAGATAGATAGATAGATAGATAGAGAGAGAGAGAGAGAGAGAGAGAGAGAGAGAGAGAGAGAGAGAAAGAAAGAAAGAGAGAGGGTGTGAGAGGGAGGAATAGGGAAGAGAGGAGGAACTTGGAACAATGAATAGCAAATAAATTTTTTTAGATTTATTATTCAATTTTCATTACTGTAATTACAAATATTTCAAGTAAGTCGTTCCTTTGATACATTAATCGTGAAAAAAAAAAAGATTTTGCATATTGTGAAGTTAAAGATACTAATTTGTGTGATATATTGTATCAAAATAGATAAAATTTTATTAACCGCTGTTAACAAAAAATGGGGAAAAATACCAAACGTCCCTGGCATTTTTGCAATGATATTTATGTTTATTGCGTGCGTTAAATATACAAATTATTAAGGTCATATGAATCTTGTGCACGTGAAACATTCATGACCTTGACCTTCTTTTCTCAAGATCCATAGTTTTTTCTAACAAATGTGAACATGTCAACCTTGATAGAAATTTGACCTGCTCCGGTTCAGAATTGATTGCATTTTGGAAATAATTATAAAGAAAAATTATAAATAAATGTAATAATGTAATCCATATTTGCTTAGTGGTCATAGATCAAGTGGTGTAGCAGCGGTGTAGTGAGTCGAAGGTCGTGCGTTCGAATCCCGCTCGTGACTCTAATTTTTCATCTCAACCAAAAACCGTAGATAAAAAATAAATGTAATGTAAAAATTCTTAAACCCATTTAATATAAATTATTTTCTTGAAGCTGATGTGTTAAGTTCTTTGTAAATTACTATTGCTAAATGTGAAGTACATTGAAAAAGGAACTATCGTGAATGTTATTAGCGATTTCTCTGAACTTTAAATTGCTTGTTGCTCGACTTAGAAAAATACTTAAAAAATTCCCAATTTGCGATGTTAAAAAATACGATGTTTTCGTTTGTAAAATCATGATATCTCCTACCATAAATAAATTACGCTTAAAAAAGACCCTGGAATATAAAGATACGATAGAGGGAAAAAGAGAGGAAATTATTGCAAATGATTATTGTATCATAAAAAAGGTGTTGACATTGTAACATGCTATTTTTTTGTTGTGTACGCTAAATGTTATTGAGCTCTGCTAAATTTTAACGTTAACACTCGTGACATCGATGTTAACATGTTAATGATTTTTGTAGGATTTGGAAAAAATTTTGGAATGATATTTCTAAAAACATATAAATAACTCCAAAACCTATACAATACCAGACTTGCTTTTTCAATAACACAGTGTTATCGGCTAATTTTCTTTGACTTTTACGGAGGATATCTAGGTGACTATGTTGATCCTTAAGGTTTGACCAATCTGCTTTTTTTGAGAAGTGTCTGGAAATTTTCGATATTTTCTGTCATAATTATTTTGTCTTCGGTATGTTTGAAGATATTGACCCGCACCCCGTGTATCTTATTCTTCGGCATCTATAATAAAGGCAAAATCATAAGTTTTATTGAAAATAAATCCTTTGAATAAACTGGGTCCTCAATATTAATAAACGGGTTTTCCATTCTTTCACTATAATCGATTTATTTCTTCTAATCGTGTACATATAGATAGTCCATCGTGTATGTAGATAAGGGGTAAAAAAGGTAAGAAGAGATCAATAGGGGTAGTGAATTAGGGGCAGATATTTGGCATAGCTCTACCCCCTCGACTCGCTATTGATTTTACTTCTCCCCGGCCGCCCCCGCGTCCTTCAACGAGTTGCTAGTTCTCGCTGTTCTGTTTGGCCCAAGTGTCGCCCAGGGAGACGGTTTAACGGCGGAGTCTTCGACCGAACGGCCTCCGAGGGCCTTGACGGATGAGGGGCTGATGGGTCGACGGTGGTGGCATTCGCGAGCCGGCTCGTCCCGCGGGCCACGAGGTCCGCCTGACCTTGCTGGTTACCCAATAATACCTTATGTAGGTCATGATTCCAACTCATGCTTCCACTGCCACTCGCCGTTCTAAAAATGCTATGTTGTCTCCCTAGTATATACGAGAATGGATATATTTTTTATACTGTAGCTTTATACAGTATCAATCCAATATACCTTAAAATCATATCAATTATTAACAAACTTCATATAACCAACAACTGGAAAAATCTAATTTTGCTAAAACTGCACTAAATCTTTGTTATAATTACTTTATTGTTTATAAAATAACATGTGCCATTCAATAATTTCTATAAATCCAACCATAAATCGGAATTCCAATACATTTTACATGTACGAGTCTCCAGTAGATCAGCCCAGAAGCTCCTAAACAGTTGAAATATATTAACTTTTCATAATAAATGCACTAACAAATTTCTATTATTCAAAAATTGAAAAAGTTAATAATTTTACTGAAAAGACCATCTTTCTTTACAACGCTCAGGTTAAAAATTACTTCTTTCGATAATTAAATAAATCTATAATTCCAATCTGAAATAGGAATTGAATAATAAATGAAGATAAATTAAATATATTAGTTGTTGATAAAAATACGCAGTTTTCATAATTTATTATACCAAGAATTAACACTACTTCCTGTAAAATAAATTTTAGTAAGTAAGATAGAAGCAAGTTGACTCAGACAGATAGGTTGGTTGCATTATCCTTACATCAATCATGAAGAATGTTTGATAAGTTAGATAATCCAAAAATTTAATATTTTCTCTGGAGAAATAACATATTCCGTTAGAATAAGTAAAATTATCTTTATAATTTTCCTCTTATTTATTTAGAAATCGTGAGATGCGGTCTGGTGTGATGTAGGTTTCAGAACCTGTCGTGCCACGATAAAGAAAACGTTTTTCTGAAACCTACATCACACCAGACCGCATCTCACGATTTCTAAATAAATATCGATTAACGGTCACTAATCACCACACATTTCCTTTTATTGATTATAAAACAACTCCACCCATTTTTAAATAATTTCTTTAAATAAAATAAAAAATTGGATTCGAATAAATTCATTCTGTAGTTGATCGTTAAGTCAACCCAATAGCTCTAAGAACTCCGACAGCCTGGTTAATCATTAACGAGTTCCGTAGTTAAAATAGGCAACATTTCGATGAAATGTTGAATATTTTCTTTACCATTTTTTATAATTACAAACTGTAATAATGATTAATTTGTGTCAATGGTATCGATAGTGCAATTAGACTATTCTATCGATCGGACGGAAGACATTAGTGGATATTTATAAAATCAGCAGTACAATACCTTAACTATTGATATGATAAGTGGTAAATCAGATATATAAAAAGCTTCCTACCGACCCTCTTCTCCTTTACTCTCTTTTGTATTAAAAAAAAGTCGATGTAAAAAATCGATACATGTTAATATCACCGTCAAGGAAATTAGTATGTTGATTAGACGTTTGTCAGTTTCTTCGGTGGCGATCCATGTAGTCCCTGTATCATAATTGTGTTCATAGGTAGAAGACGTGATATGCATTAATATCGGACATAAAAGTATCGATATTTTAGTTAATGTAGGCCCGTTTCGCCTTTGGCAAAGAGGTTCTCTACCCTAGATGTACTGCTGAATGGTTAGATTTCTTCTTAATGCTAAGACGAAAAAAAAACATCAAAACAAATATATTGGTAATCATAATTTCAAAGATTATTGTTTTACTTATATCGACTTAAATATTCTGGATAATCGATACTATGCTAATATCCGAATCTACTCTACTGGCTTCTTATTTTAATATATCCATCCATAAGTCCTCAAAGAAATTGGAAAAACCTACGGTAGTGCGAAATGAAAATAAATTTTCTTAATAAGCTTACTAAGTAAAAAAGTAAAAGCGAAGGACTTTTCTTT